GGAGAAGCCCAGAAACGGCAGTGCGACATGGGGGCTTTAGAAGCTTCACTTTGACAATTTTAGATAGTATAAAAGGCTGCAGAATTGGTCCCTACTGGTAGAAATTTGCTTACTACTTTAACAAAAGAAAAAATTCAAAATTTGTGATTTTTGAGAGCTTCGCTTAAGAGTTCCTGGGCTATAAAATATTCTTCATGCTAATGTCATTTAAAATAGTTTTTCTGCTTCTTAAAGAAAGATACCTACATGGTTTTCTAGGGGTCACAGTACTCCACTTTCTAATTCTGCGGGAGTCCTATAACTTAAGATCCTATGCTAGCCCCAGAAGTATTTACTTTTCCAAAGTAATAGAACATGATTTGCTAAATTAAAAAGGGGATGACTGATATTTACACAGTAATCTAGACATTCAATTAACTGACAGTGATAAAGGACTCAGAAAATTTTACCAATATGAATATCCTTCAAATATTTTATAATACTAATTTTTGTATACTTTCATTACTTTTAACCTAAACTATTTGTAGTAAAAAGGATAGTTAATACTTTGGGAAGCTTTACTATATCTCAGGTAGTCAAGAACTATACGTGTAATATCTCACTTAATCTTCAGAACAACCTATGATCCAAGTTACTACCTCCAATCTACAGATGAGGAAACACACACAGAGACAAGTCACTTTCCCAGTGAAAAACTGCTATTAAGCGGCAGAGCCAAGATTCACACCAGAGTCTGCTCTAGAACCCACACTCTAAACTGACACATCCACTCAGGAACATCCGGTGCTTACCTGTTCAGGTTTGTGCTGCTGCACAGTGTTATAGATGTAACTCAGGCCTGCTCTAGTTAAAACGTAAGAGGCTTGCTCATTTATAAGCGTGTCCAAATGTGCTTCAATCTAAAATAAAACAAAATTGAAACGAAGTGTTTTAAAAGAAGAGTAAGACTGTGGAGAGCCGGCTGCTTCTACATAAAGGCTCTTCCTTCCTCCAAAGAGGAAGTCCTCTTACAAAAGGGAGGGAAAGTCTTACTTAAAATGATAACCAAAGAGGGTTCCAGGACCAGTCAAAAAAATTTGAGTTGCTTCTCTGCTCTTTTAAAAGCTGGCATTAAGCAAATCACAAGCAAACAAATAAGAACTACTCATCAACAACAGCGTAAACTACACTACTCGGGAAGGGTTCCGGGGAGACGAGGACCTGAGGTTCCTCCCCTCCGCACTGCCGCAGGCCCCCGGCCTGCTGGACTGGCACAGCCGAGCCAGCACGCCCTCCGGAGACGCCTGGCGGAAATCCCACGGGGGCCGAGGCGGTGAGGCCTCGTGAGGACACGGCAGGCCTGTGACAACCAGGGGACTGCTGAGGACCCAGCAGAGCTAGTCAAAGGCTTCGGGCTGGAGGACGGCCTGAGACGGCCTGGCTGGCAGGGGTGAGCTGCACGCGCTCACCGGCTTTGTGCTGCCTTTGGGGAGGCCACCTAATGCTCCAGGGGCAGAAGCCGTGGAAGGAGACCCCCCTGGCGGGATGAAGCCCTTCCTAGCGGGGAGAAGTCTGCTGCCCCTTCCTCTTCCCAGCACAGGCCTGGAAGTCTCAAGGCCTTCCTTCTCCCCTCACCAGATAGTTCCCTGGGCTGTACCAGTTTGTCGGCCAGCAGCACAGGACAGATACTATCTGTTACCACCTGGATACTTGCCAGCATCCAAGTGACTCCAGTAGCTGAGCCCCTCCCCTCAAAACTTACAACTGATTTAAAACAGGTAAGTAGGCACCAAGAGGAAACCCACCTGAACGACGGGAGCAAGTATTTTTTCCTGAGACAACACTACTGAAAGACACAGAGCACTTTAGTTTTTTTAAGTGAATGGCCAAGAAAGTACGATTAGAACCCTTACTTAATAGACTTAGTGGAAATCAAAGAAAAACAAGATTGCAAATATAAATATTTAAGGAAAGAGTTACTGCAAAGAACCAAATTAGTACCTGAAAGAAAAATGGAAGAATAGGAATACAGAGTAAATGTCAAAGAAATACACTAAAGTGAAGAGATTTAAAAAGAAACTAAAAGACAGATTCAGGAGATAAAGCCAAGGACAGGAGCTTCAGAACATAAAAAGTAACAGATGGAGAAGTGATAATTAATTAAAGATAATAGGAAACTTCATTAAACTAAAGAAAGGGTTGAATCTTCACACTGACTGTAAAGTCCAAGATGGAAATAACAGAAAAAGAGATACACCAAAAAACACCCTGAAGAAATACATGAACTCAAAGGAAAATAAATACTCATAAGCTTCCATATGAACAGAATAAGATAAGAATCACAAACAAAAGAGAATCAGACTAGGCTGAATTTCTTTTTTTTTTTTTAGGCTTAATTTCTCATTTTAAATACTGGAAGAAGCTAAGTAAAAGTGGAAGAAAATTAATAAACTATTGGTAGAAAAGGTCTGAAAATCAAGAATCTTTTAGTCAACATGGTAAACTGTTACTGTGGGGGCCGACGCCTTCCAGCATCCACATCCTGGCACAGTCCTCTCGTACACTGACTGTGGGCTGGTCCACGCAACCAGCACTGGCCACCAGCCTCTCAGCAAGCATGACGCAAGTGCAGGCTTAATGAGCACTTACGTGGTGGGGCTTGTCCTCTTGGAATGCAAAAAATGGCTTTGGAATATTTAAGAAACAAAGATAAATGGTGACAAAATAGATTATTGAACACCTGATATATCTGCACATCTTGAGAACAAATTTAGACAAATGGCAGAGTTTGGAGTTGAATTAGTGATAAACACAGTAAAAAAAACCAATGAATTTAAAAAAATTTATTAATTACACATAAATTTAAAAAAAGAAAGAAAGGAAAACTAATCATACTTCATTATATTTCTTTTCAAAGAACTAGAAATTAGAAAATATCATAAACTTAGAGGTCTCAAAACTCATTCCTTACAAAAACTCAAAACGTGACCAATCTTTACTATAGTCACTGCCAAACTGTCTATATACTGCTGATGACAAAGGAGATAACTTTTCGTTTTTTTTTTTAATGTTAGATCTACCAAAAGTCACTATTTCAAAATCAGAAGCCAAGTATCTGGTAAATTTTATAAATGGCTTTGTTGTGACTCTTAAGTGATCCCATTTGGCTTATAGGACTGGAGCTCTCGGTATAACGAACTGTAATGTTTTGCCTAACACTGGTTTACACATAGATAAAAATATATCTGTCCTCTGCAGCACCTTCTGCACTAGCTACACAGCTTGAAAAACACAGCACATTATTCACAGTTCAGAAACTGAAATCTGCATGCAGAATAATGGTTCACATTTGTCAGAAAAACTTCCTTCTACCATCCCATATTATGGCTTGAATAAAATATCTTACCCATTACATATTTTGGCCCCTCCAAAACAACGGAAATACTGAACATGCTTGAGATGTGGCGGGGGTTGGGGTTCTATCAGACTATCACAAGGAATTCACAGAAATTAGGTCACTGAAATTAGCTTAAAGTCAGTAACTGAGGTCATGGATAGGAAAAAGATTTCATCGCAGTGAGCAGTCGCTTTATGGCAAAACTAACCTGAAACTGTAGCATTTCCAGACGTCTGTCAGTGAATTCAAACAGGGCTAAAGTGGTCTTCATCATATACAGTGAATTGACCATGAACGTGGCCATGTCAGCTGTGCCTAAATTGCTGGCTGACACAGTACACATCTGGAGGAGAGGATCCAGGACACATGATAAAACCTAGAAATGAAAAATAAAATTAATGTATTCTTTATTTCCCAAGAGTGAAACAGGTCTGTGTTAAGGGCACTTCAGACTGAATGTCAAATTAATAGGAAGGGGGCCAACTTACAGAAGCACATCAGAAAAAGATTAAATGGTATAATAACTGTAATAGTTTTAAAATAAGCATCACTGAACACTTTTTAAAGATAACTGGTTTAACATTTGAAATAAAAAGCAATGAGAGACTGTCAAAATATATGGGTTATAAAATGTCAGAATCTCAACAGAATGTACAATAGAGGGGCAGTAAGAATCATTACAAATGACTGTACAACATACCTGCACGAAGTCAGCCTGACGGGCATCTAGCGGTACGACCGAAGAGTCATGAGATGCCAACACTTCACGCAACAGCATGAGTGTCTGATTTAATGCAGAACTTGGTCCAAGATCAGGTGGCGGGAGTTCAACCTAAAATAAAGGACGATTTACCCCCTGTTTATATTTTTCTGCTCAATTTTCAGTGTCTAAATAAATGCCAGTTCACATGTAAAATAATACATATAAAAGACATAAAGCACTGGCTGACACATTTCAAAATCTGTAATTTATCTGTAAGTTATCTTGTACTAATCAGCACAGAAAGTGACACAAAAGTTTTTTGTTATTCTACCTCACAATTAACGTATCACAATTAGAAGTAAAGACTTGGTACTTCTAAAATTTAAAAAAAAATTATGAGGAAACTTAGCAGTCTTTGAATTGTAGGATTATATTTTCATATGGATTTGAAATGACCCGGTTTTGTTTTTTAGATCAAGACTTAAGAAAAAACCAATCTAGAGACCAGCGCTTCACCAACTATAATATAACTGAGAATCACCACCCATACTCATGCCCAAATCTCAGGTATTTTGGCTCACTATGTATACGTATGGGGTCTAGAAATCTTTCAACAAGCACCTCAGGTGATTTTCAGGACACTGGTTCATGGGCCACACACTTCACAGAAAGAACACAACATTGCCACCGAAATCTCGGGTTCTGGAGTCGGAGATTAATTCTACATTTTGTACCTACCACTTACTAGTTTGTGACCTTGGGAAAGTTATTTAAAATCACAGAGGTTCAGAGGGATTCTGTAAAGATTATAGGGGATTACTGCATCTTAACTACTGAATAGAGTACCCGGCACTTATTAACTGGCTAAGTTCATTACCTCTTCTTGATGGTATCGTGATATCCAAGAGGCGCCTGTGATTTTTTTTAAAACATTTTTCAATGTACTTATAATATATACAGTCAGACTTTATAAATGAAACAAAAGCTAGTACTTATAAATCCATGTAAGACACCATACCCTTGTGTCAGGTAGACAGGAAAGCATAAGAATTTTAAAATATCAGGATTTGTATTAAGAATGCTTTATGTATAAAAGTTAATACATTAAAAGTGACAGCAGGAATGGCAAAGTATGGACCTCCAAAAATCCTCCCTCCTTCCTAAAAGCAACAAAAACAAAAAATTATGAGACATGCCAACAAACAAAAAACCAGTCATTTACAGGAAAAAAAATCCCAATAATCAATAGAAACTTTCCCTGAGGAAGCCTAGATGTTGGAAATACTAGCCGAAGACTTTAAATCAGCTCTTTTAAATGTGTTCAAAAACTAAAGGAAACCATGTTAATGAACTAAAGGAAAGTAAGAGAATAATGTCTTATAAAATAGAGAATATCAATAAAGAGAAATGGTGAAAAAAAAACAAACTGCCAAATAGAAATACTGCAGTTGAGAAGCACAATAGCAAATAAAAAATTCACTATAGGGAGTCAACAGATTTGAGCAGAAAGAATAATTAGTGAACTTAAAAATAGGTCAATTAAGATTGATCAATTTGAGGAACAGAAAGAAAAAAAAATGAAAGAAAATTAACAGAGCGTCAGAGACCTATGGGACAACATTAACAACAGCAGTACAATGAGAATCTCAGGAGAAGAAATAAGGGAGGGAAGTGCAAAAAGAGTATTTGAAGAAATAGTAGCAGGAGATCTAGTAAGTCCAATTTAAAAAAAAAATTAAACTAAATACCCAAGAAGTTCATGAACTCCAAGCAGAACAAACTTAAATAGATTTACACTGAAATACATCATAATCAAACTTAAAAGACAAAGATAAAGAGGGAATCTTAAAATCAACAAGAGAGAAGTAACTCATTCTGAACAAAGGGTTCTCAATAAGATTAACAGTTGACTTCTCATCAGAAAACATGGAGACCAGAAGGCACTGGATGATACACTTGAGGGCTGAAAGAGACTGTCAATCAAGAATTCTATATCCAGCAAAACTATTCTTCAAGAATGAAGAAGAAATTGAGACCTACCCAATACACAAAAACAAAAGCTTTTTACTAGCAAACCTGCTCTGCAAGAAATACTGGAGGGAATCCTTCAGGCTAAAATGAAGGGACATTAGACAGTAACTAAAATTTAAAAGTTGAAGAGAAATCTCTTTTATCTCCTTCAACTAAGGCCTTTAAAAGCCATGCAAATTTAAAGTAAAGGTCACAGTTTTCCATAGTTAGAGTCAATGGTAAATGATACAGGGAATGCTACTTGAGCTCACTTCATTGAACAAACTGCCCTTCCATAAGGCACTTTCACACACACCCGTAGGTGAGATCAGCAACAGGTCAGAATCACACATCTAAAGCAAAGTGAAAATTATAGCAATTGTCAGATAAACAAGATTTCAGACTTTACAATTCTATCCTAGGAATAATGGAAAGAAAATCTAAAGAAGAGAATGTCTGATGAATATGCTCCATTACTTCAATTTAATTTCATCTAAGTGAATTTTGTTTCTAACGGTTAAATATTACACAAAGTAAATCTTTCTCTATTTCTTCTGAAGTCCCTCCAATGCAATCCTGTGCTTACTTCATACTGACCTTCTATCATTTGTATCTACATATATTTTGTATTTAATGTATATGGTTGTAGAGCCCAAACACTAGAATTAAGTGGGCTTTGTGATTTAGAGAATCTACAAAAAAGTTGTAGCAATTGTTAAAACAAAGCCTATGAACTTCCTGTATAACAATAATTACAATACAGAAACTCCTATAAGCTTTGATCTGCGCAGCAAATACCAATCTATTTACAAGTACTTCCTCAGAAACCAAGTTACCACTAGCAAGTGAGTGGCAGATGCATCCTCAGAGTATCATGAGTAGGAGGAAGAGGTGTTACTATTACAGCTACTTGGACTCAAGCTAATAATAGAAATTTTACACACTGGTGGAAAAATGTTGAAGAATATGTAAACTTTTGCCCTACGAAAAAAAATATCTCCCTCATGTTCTAGACTGTGTGCTATTAACACCAAGCATGTTAATGTCAGTAAATGGACACACATCGCTGATTATGTTCAAAGCATACACCCTTAGGGACAATGAGCAAACACCTTAAAAAAAAAGCCAAAGAAGGTTGCTAAATTAGCTATGAAAGTGTGTAGCTCAACAAGGTCCTATTGTATAGCACAGGATCAGTATCTTATAATAACCTATCATGAGAAAGTATACATATATAGTAATACATATACTATATATAACTATACTATATATATATAACTACATATATATCACTGAATCACTATACTGTACACCAGAAATTAACACATTATAAGTCGACATCGTAAACTGACTATACTTCAATAAAAAAAAATATGTAACATTAGTAGCCTTCAGAAAAGTACAAATCAAAATGAAATACCACCACACAACTTCCACAATGGCTAAAATTAAAGACTAACAATAACAAGCACTGGAGAGGATGTGGAGGAACTCAAATTCCCATACATTTCTGGTAGGATAAACTGGTACAACCGTTTTGCAAAAATGCTTGGTAGTAGCTATGAAAGCTATCAATCATATACCCTAGATATTCTATTACTGTATATACACACAAGAGAAATGAAAACCTACATCCACCAAAGGACATGTACAAGAATATTCACAGGGGCTTTATTTATAATATCTAAGAACTAGAAATAATATAAATGTCTAATAATAACCTGTAGTAAATTTATATAATAGAATTATTAAACAATGATTTAAAAAATGAACTACTGCTAAACACAACATGGATGAATCTTATATAATGTTAAATGAAAGAAGTCAGACTCAGAGTTCAACACTATGAATTTATTTAAATATATTTCAATAGCACACACAAATAGGAAAAAGAAGTCAAATGGTTGTTTACTTTGAGGGATACCAACTGGGAAGGTGTGTGAAGAAGCTTTCTAAGGTGCTGGAGGTGTTTTATATGTTGATCTGGATAACGATTAATGAACATACACAAACACAAAATTTTAATGAACTTTACACTTAAGGTCTGTGTACTCAAGTTTTATCTCCATTTACAATGAAAGTTCATTTGGCCTTTTTTTGTTTATATTATATAAAAATTGAGAATCATTTGGCCTTTTTTTGTTTATATTATATAAATTGAGAATCAATAAAAATATCTAAAATTGATAAAAGTGATTAATAATAATTATAAAGTACAAAAGAACTTTATGAAAGATATATTCATAACTTTTATGTACATTTTCCAATTAAAAAAGGTGAAGTATAAACAAAAATTTCCCATTTACAAGCATTTGGTCTCCTGGAAACTTCATATTCTACATATTAGAACCTCATTCTTCCTGTGACTGTTTACTGTGATGCTCTGTATCCCTTTTGTAAATAGGTGCTCTGACTTTATGAGAGGAAAATGAAAAGGCTGCACCATAAAAACTCTAAAAGCTGTTTTTACCACCTCATTCCACTGCCAACTTTAGCTTTATTCTTTCAAATATCTTCCATTTAAGGCCCCCTAATTTTCTGTACTGTAGCTTCTTAGGCCACTAACCCACCTGTTTTCAAAAAATAAAAACCAAGCCAAACAAACAAACCAACCCTCAAATTTTTAAACTAATTTCTTCATTCTATATATAGATTCCTTATGCTCTATCTCTAAATATACATATGTTCTAGAAATTGACAGGGAACAGAACTGAAGTTTTTTTAAACTTTATTGAGGTACGACTGACAAACAAAAAGCTATGAATATTTAATGTATGTAACTTAATGAAAATATTGATATATGTATACCTGAAACCAAGTCTCCCTAAAACCGAGTTCCCTTACTCAGTGTATGATGAACTTCTCTAACCAAAACTGTATTCTCTTTCTTGTCCCGCCCTCCTTCCCCTCAGGACTGAGGAGTATCAAAGAAGAGGGAGGATCAAAACCAAGCAGGATCCTGTGGGGCCTTCCCAGGTACAACAGGCCCTCCATACCTCCCATTTCTTGTTTGTAGAACAAGACGCTTTTAGTCCCCTAGGCCTTCCCTGAGTACTGAAGAGCAGACCCAAGTAGTTAAGGACTAGAATAACAGAGACACAGGACTCCCGGTTCCTCCT